TATCGAGACTTAGTCTCTTATGTTCTACACATATTTCTTTTTGTACAACAACAAGCTTTTTATCGAAGTTGTTAAGTTACATGTTCGTTCTGTATATAAATTACTTGTTATGCTAACAGATACGGACCAAATGAAATTCCCTCAGAAACTTTTAGTGCAAGCCCCACTCCAGTGAGAAGTTAATTCAGAACAAAGTAATAATTTCAAAGAAGAAACATGCGTTTTTACAGATACAACCTTCACACTGTGCGGCCGCTTATGCACTTTAGGGGAACGAAACATAAAAATGCAACTATATTTTCATGTAGGCTTGATTTCGGATATTTCCAGAGTCTGCCTAACAAGTAGTAACTTCATCTGCAGTCATCCTATAGCTCGCTTCCCGTGTCTTTACATTTACCCACAGTCGATGTTTGCTTATGGTGATCTGATGAAATTGTTGTCCACTGTGGCCGTGGTGATTTGTCCGCGTCTTAGATATTCTTTATTAAGTGAAAATCACCTTATGTCGAGCTCATGTCTGTCCGTATGCCTCTGACCCAATATCAGTTCATAAATCGTTGAAGTGTTTCTTTTAATTCAACGTGGAAGACTCACGTAGCGCTGTCGGACAGTTCATATAGATCCCCAACATGAAGTCATAAATTAACTTTCCACGTCAGTCTTACGCCGTTAATGAGACTGCGGTAAGATCCTACATAGAGATATTTGCATGCTGTTAGTGACGGAACTCAATTTTTAGCCATATTGATTAACTGGAAGTGCTCATTGATATAAGATAACATTATCATAATATGAAACCCTGATCAGATTTTGATTACATTCAACACGAGCACATTTTTTCATGACGTTGAGTAGCCACTTTGTTTTTCAGTCGTGCTGGCAGATTTCAGAGCCTGCGATGCCCAGGACTAAATGGAATTTCACTGTACAGACAAGCAACGCGCCATGTCCTCACACGGGTTGCAGAGTACACTATGTTGACGGTGGAATTTTCGTAGGTAAACTGTACCAGCTTTGTCACTTGAACAGTAACGATATTACGAACAGTACGTAATACCGCTTTCTTATCAAGAATTTTGAAACTGTACAGTGAAATAGCTGTATCTCGGAATAGGACGAATGGACAAGTACAATTTCTACGTAGAATGACCGATACTGTGACCTCCTAGAGTACTGACCTTTCCTCCTGGGACACCTTCTGTACCGGCCGTAAGTGAGCGTAATAAACTGAAAGGAAGCCATTGGGAATTCTGTGCACTAAATCATGAAGTTTGCCCTTTCGAAGCTGATGAGCGCTTAATGGCTTGTGGTCCACTCGTCTGCCTAGAGCACTGGTTCCCAAACTCTTATAATATAAAGCCTCCTTTCCACACTTATAAAAGTCATTTAAAATACCGGTATTTAACAATTAAGAAAACAATTACTAGTAAACTTTAATGATATATATGAAGTACTTTCTTTATTGAATTGTATGCTTGTACTTTAATGTGCCCTTTTAAGATTAGAAGTCATTTAATATCTTTGCCATCCGCCCATTTTTGGGTGGCCCTCAGGAAAAGCTTCAGTGTTCCTGGGGGCCGCGTCTCTCATGTTGGAAAACGCCGACTTAGGGAACTTAGTGCATTGCACGTGATAGCTTGCAAATCTGCAATATGTGCTGCTGCTGGTGGCATAGCTGGTAACGTGACTGACTGGACGATCAGAATTCCATTTCCAGTGAAGCCAATGATCCTCTCTGGGCCACCATTTCCAGAGTCCGCCCGGCTTCCTCTTCCTTCAAGTGGTTACCGCAGACTTTTTTTATCTTGAGGTTAATATCACCGGAGCTTGAAGCTGACCTGCAGTTTATCAGTTCCCGACATTTATACCTCGGTACCCCTTATGCCCATTCGTGTAATTCGTAGCTGCCGGAGAACTGACTGAAACAGTGAGCGGAAATGCAGTAATCGTGTAGACTAGGTCTCCTCGTAACTTGTGATTCTCTAGCTCCCTAATTTAAAACATAAATGTAGGCTACCCCCATGACGTACGGTGTCAGTAGGAACCTTAGCAGCTTTGTAGCTGTTTCTGCGTTTGCTGTAAGATACAAAATATTTCTGTACCCCCACAAAAATTCGCGAAATATTTTGTGATACACTTAAGCATATTTTATCTTTCTGACTTACTGACATACAAAAAATGTGCGTGCATACAAAATAGAATAAAGCAAGTGACCTGAAGTGAAGTACAGTACATAATTCATGAGAACACAGCGACTTACCCCTAGAAAAGATTTCAACTCCCTGTGGATCGCGGTCCACAGTTTGAGAAATCATGTTCATAAAGCTGTATCCTGAAACTTCGGTGTTCGAATCTTAACTATATTTACCGAACGTGTTGGCTGGTGTTTTTATGGTTCTTTCGAGTCTTTCTGGCCGAATGATAACTGACTCACTTATAGTCTACTACAGAGCGTTCATTAAGGCTTCTCTTCTCATTTCACGCTACGCAACCTCTTCAGCTGAAAACGACGCCGTTTTATAACTTTAACGAATACGTAGTGAATTAATCTGGACACTTCATCTTGAAGCTTCTAGGCACGGAACTTCGCTCTCACTCCATTTCCCTAATGGCTCGGGCGTCTGTCTATGCGTACCGGTGTTAATGACAAACACAGCTGCTCGGGTGCTTCGTATCCACATCTGTGGTGAGGCATTTGGGAGGTTCTGACTGAAGTTGCTCTTGCAGGAATGTGTGGTATATGTATCAGTGTGATTTGCATAAGTTCATGTCTGTGGAAACCCTTTCCGGTTCGGCGAATCCAGTGTCTTGTTCGCTCTTACGTACGTGGGAAACTGTAAAATACTAATGAGCCTCAAAATTGGCAATAACTGTTCCTGCAATCTGAAAACACTGGATCGTCTTACCGTTACAGGCTATGTTGAGATCGTTATGGTGGGTCAGACCTGTAACAGGACACAGAAAAAGCAGTATTGACCCTTGTAACGTACGTGGTCTTGCAATAGAATGCACCAGAATCCACGAAACTGAAGTCACTGCAGAGTTTGCTTGTCTGTGCAGTGATGGAGGAAAGGATAGCAAGGGAGAAAGAAAGAAAGAGAGGAAGAAGGAAGGAATGATGGAGGGAAATGAGTAAATAAAGAGAAATAGGGAGAAGGAACGGAAATAATAACGTCAGGCAGAAAAAGAGGACAAGAAGGAAAGATGAAGAGATGAAATGTAAGGGAGGGAATCATGAAGAATTAGAAAATTATGGCAGAGAGACCGAAGGAGGAAAAAGGAACAGGTAAATCAGCAAATATAAAGTAGGTCTATAGCAGAATTTCTTGAGTGTTCTGATTTACGGAAAACTGAACGCATGTTTTACTGAGTAACGTAACTGCTAGGCCACATCATAGCTTAGTCGTTGGCTTCCCACCTCGGGGGCCCGGGTCCGATCCCGGGTCTGGGCAGTTGGGATTTGTGGTGGAAATGGTGGCGCTGGGGTAGGTTTTCTCCGAGTACTTCGGTTTCCCCAGCCAATCTTCATTCCACCAATTGCTCAACAATCGCCCTCACCCATCATCTGGGGCTGGTACAGTAGGCCAGAAGTGGCCGCAGTACAAGGGACTTAGTCCCACCCCACTAGCAATAAAAAAAAAAGAACGTAACAGATTGCCTGTTTGGTATCTGTAGCTTGTTCGTGCAGTGCACGTACCTGCTCCTACAGAACATTTACTGATACAGCTATACAGGCTGTACTTGTAGACTTGTAAAACTGTTTGGACTGTGCGCGTAGTCTGTATATCCATCTTCTCGCTGAAGTACTTATTTTAACCGTGTGTACGCCGTTTTTATGTGAAATAACCCACTATTAATATTTCTCTACTCTAACATACGTATTACTTATTGGTGTTGTTGAACAGTGGTGAGGTTGCGGAATGGATTCGCGCCATTGATTTGAGCACATGCACGTAAATATTGTAGGGGGGTAGGCGTGACGAAAATAATAGGTTCTGGATCGGATGATCGAATTGATTAGCACTTCGGCTACAAGTTCTCTTAATCACACTCACAACGCTGTCGCTGTTCTGCACACTTTCAGTTCACCGTTACGCACGCACTAGGATTCACCTTCACTAGTCGTCTCCTGGCAACGGATCTCAACACAGAAACTAGGGCTTCAAATCACTATGAAGTCTTCTTGTTATTTCCTGACCTATCTGTACTCAACTATTCTTCACAATTCGGTAAGGACACGCGCCATTCTCGTCCCTGTACTCTGAACTGAACCGAACTAATCTAAGCTACAACATATTCTCGTTATATAGGCTCCGCATGGACCACACAGAAAACAAGTTACGTGATTGCTACCCAGCCATTTCATTGGCAGGCTGCCTGCTGCCTAGTAACGAGCTATAATATTCGTCTTATTTTTGCGTGCTCGTAACTCGGGGTGTTTATCGAGCCGTTGCCTATCAATGCTTTGAGCAAATCCATACATTGCTCCCTCCTTAGGCTATTCACCCCGAATAGCCTATCGGTGCACCGTCATTCGTTCTTTCGAGGGCTGCGCTTTGTTCCGCCTCACCTTCCTTTCCGTTGCTCCTCTTTTACGCAGTGACTACCCTCCAACCGCTACCACCGCTCCCTCCTTCAGCTTGCTCGTCCCGAGCAGCTCCCTGATATTGTGCGAGCCGGTCCAGGTGTGCCACCATCATCCTCGGTCTAGGGTTCCTCTGTATCCTGTATACTGCCCTCCCATGAGGACTGGACTTTGGGTGATTTCCTCTTCGTGCGGATTGGGCGATAGAGCCACACTCCGTCCCCCTTGTGGTAACCTCCGTAGTTGGTTGGTTTATCGTACCGGGTTTTATGCGGTCGCTGGGGACAAACCAAAATGTTGGATGTCTGGTGCAGGAGTATAACAAATGTGGCTCGAAAATATGTCCCTTAGTGACTTAACTTAACGTTGATCTGGTTCCGTTCTGATGTCGTCTTGTTCGTTTCCTTTACAGGATTCCCGTTAGATCCAGACTTTGCGGGAGCTGCAGAATCGCTCGGACAAAGGTGAGTCCCCTTGTATTCCACACCGCGGGTCCGAATGCCTAGCAAGACTTTGTCTTACAGCCGTGTGCACAAGCTTCCTTTCTTTTTGTCTCTGCTCTGTGTTTATATGCAAGAAAGCCGGCGTTGCCACGCAGTACAGTATCCGGCAGGGGCATACATTTCCTTTCTGATGCCTATCCACCCACTTGTCCAGTGGACAGATCTACCGAGGACTTTTTGGCCGTGCGTGAAGGGGCCACGATATGAATCTGGCCATGCAGCTTCATCTAGTGCCGAGCTTTAGAATCCATGGAACTATTTCTCCCCACTCTTTTATGGAATGGTATTTAATTAGAGCTTCTGCCTTATGTAATGTAAAATGATACATTCATCAGTGGCTCTGCTGCCCGTTGTTGAGCCCTGGCCTCTTCCTCAGTTTCATAATCTTTTTTACGCAGACGGTAGGACTCGTTGGGCGAGTGATCAGCTAGTCGCAAGGCCTCTACTTACACACAGGTCAACACAAACACAGAATAAACGCATACACAGACGTCCATGCCTTGAGTGGGACTCGAACCCACAATCCCAGCGTTCGAGCGAACGAAGACATTCATGCCTTAGACCGCACGGCTACTGTAATACGGGGAGCGTTCCGTATATAATACCCCCTATTTTTTTTAAAGAAAACTACAACAGACACAGAAAGCATAATAACGTAGTTAAATAGAGCAAGATTTCAGTTACGTACAGTTAGTTTTCCACTTAATCACCACCATTCGTTATGCACTTTTGCCAGCGATGAACAAGAGCCTGTATGCCGCGCCCGTAAAAGTCTGTGCCAGCAGAGGCTAGCCACTTTCTTACAGCTGCAATGATAGCATCGTTGTCTGGAAAGTGTTTCCCACTTAGTCCATCTTTCATAGGCCCAAAGAGAGGAAAGCCTGAAGGTGCTAAATCGGGGCTATAAGGTGGATGTGGTAGGACAGTCCAGCCAAACTTTGCAATGTGTGGTCGCCAAACTGGTATGGAGTCTAGCGTTATTGTGTTGCAAGCGAAAGGTTGCCTGCTTCTCTGGCCTGACTCGGGAAATATGGGCTTTCAGCTTAGTCAGCGTCGTCTTGTAGCGTTCAGAATTGACAATCTCACCAGGGTCCAGGAAATCCAAGAAAATCACACCCGCATATCCCAAAAGGCCGTGCACATCACTTTCCCTGCCGATGGCTGTGTCTTGAACTTCTTTTCTCTTTGGGAATCCGAATGTCGCCACTCCACGGACTGTCTTTCGGATTCAGGCTCAAAGTGGTGACACCACGTCTCATCTCCGATGACGATGCTGTCCAGAAACTTGTCACTTTCAGCCTCAAACTGGTGCAGCAGGTCCTGACAGACTTCCATTCGATGAGTTTTGTGGTCCTGTGTAAGCATCCGTGGGACCCGCATGGAACAAACTTTGTGATAATCCAGCTTTCCCAACATCGTTTAGAATGCATTACAGCCGATATTAAGTTCCCAGGTCATTATCCGCCGATCTGTAAGGATGAGCTCATCAAGGCGCTGTTCATTGTGGTGAGTGGCAGCTGAGCAGGGACGCCCATGGCGTGGCTTGTCGTGCACTTCACTTTCGCCTCTGTTGAAACGCACTGCCCACCGCCTCACTGTGCTGACATCCACTGTATTGTCTCCGTACACCTTTAGCAAGTGTCGATGGATGTCAATGGCTGCAATTTGTTCGGCAGTGAGAAATTCAGTAACGCATCTCTGTTTCGTACGCACTTCTATGTCAGACGCCATTTTGGTAGACTGCTCTGCTGTCGCTATCTGTCGCACGACAACCAAATTAACAGTACATTGGCGGGAAAGTTCAACCTTTACTACAGCACCACCAACATCCAGCACAGACGTTACATATTAACACAAAAAAAATAGGAGGCATTATTTACGGAACGCCCTTCGTACATTCACAGAGACTAGTTTGTAAGAAAGTGGTGTTTTATATGACAGTAACATATATTGTATTACTGTGAGGTAAAAGCATAATTACACAAAGGACGAAGCATGTTTGAAAGGAGTCTTGATGAATGCATTAGAGGAATTTTGAGCCTTCAGGGTTTGCTAGTAGAGTAACAGTTAATAAGTTGTATTTTATTATTTATTATCGAGAAATTTGCAAAGACTTCCAGTTTTAACCTTTTTTTTTATTGCTAGTGGGGTGGGACTAAGTCCCTTTTACTGCGGCCACTTCTGGCCTATTGTACCAGCCCCAGATGATAGGTGAGGGTGATTGTGGAGCAATTGGTGGAATGAAGATTGGCAGGGGAAACCGAAGTACCCGGAGAAAACCTGCCCCAGCGCCACTTTGTCCACCACAAATCCCACTTGACCAGAATCGGGATTGAATCCGGGACGCCGCGGTGGGAAGCCAGCGACTAACCGCTTGAGCTATGGCGCGGCCCTCAGTTTTAACCTTACTATTTTTTACTTTTTGGGAAAGAAATCCAGAAAAATGTATTTTATTTGAAGATCTACTTTTACACAAAATTTAAAAGTTCTTGTTTCATGACAATCGCTTTCATGATATTTTTCTTGCCAACTGAAAGGGATAGAAAATATAGCCTCACCGTGATCCCCAGTGGCATGATTTTCACGCCGATTTTTATGGCAATTTATTCGCTAATTTGAAAGTTTCTTGGGAGGATAAGGAAAGAAACACACACACACGTACACAAGCACACGCACACATTGCAGTTTTGCAAACGTGAAAAGAATGGTCAACCATGAAGCGAACGATTTCCACGATTTAATGCATTCAGATGATAATCACGGTTTGAGTGGAAGGCGTGTTGAAACTGAGTTCACTAAAATTTCAGTTTAGAAGGTGACAGATCGTTAGCCATAGGAGTTTCTTAGGGTGAAGTGAAATAGCACTTTTAGATTAGTTCCTTTGCAGCACGAGATTTACTTGTTTCTTGTTACTGCAGTCAGTGGTCACAGTCTTGGGCGTTGCCACTCCAACTGGTACCGAATGTAGAGAGAATTTTAATTCCTCCTGTTAACCAGGAGGTCAGACTTCGCTTTGCGTGTCTTGATGTTCTTGTCGTCGCGAATAAGAACGGGAACATAGGACTGGAGCCTTCACTACGCATATCGCCAGGTTGAGATGAAACAGGAAGAAAATAATTGAACAGAAGAAGAAAATATAAGTAAATAGGAGGGAGGAATAAAAGGATATAGAGACAGAAGAGCCGAAAGAAGGAATAAATGGGGCAGAAAGAAAACGGATAAGAAGAAAGCGTTTAAGGAAGGAAAAACGGAGGAAAACAGTAAAAGTAGAATCCAGTAGACTATACGAGTATACATGCTTACAGACAACATTTCTTACGTGTGATATGGCTATTAAATGTTTACTTCAGTTCACATGGTGAATACTGTGCAGTATTTCTGCGTCTAGTTGTACGTACGTGTGATCATAGCAAAGTAGTAGGAAACAAAGAAACGTCATGTTGGAGAACTGTCTATTCTGCTATATAACGCCGTGATATCCATTGAAAATCAACCGACATGAAGTGTATTGCCTACAAGCAACTTCTTTGCCTCCTTTATGCTGGTTTCTTACTTGGCTTATTCTTCTACCCTGAAGATGGAGGCGACATATTCCTCCGAAATGTAGGTTAATTTTCTACGGGCTATACGGAGTTCTGTCCCAGAAGACAGAAATTTTCCTAAACATTGCTATGAAAACCTCAGATTCCAAACGTCAGGTTCTTTGGGGTTCTGTTACAAACTCCGGTTTAGCTGTTCACGACTGTGGGTCTGTCAGAATGTGGGGCAAACATCGCTGAGTGGAGCCGCACACTTGCTTTCACTAACATGTGTAGACCTGCCACTACATTACAATACTCTTACCTACACTGACATCGCAGTTACTGTAGTGACCGCGAGATGTACGCCAGTTAAGTACACGCATGTTTTAAATTCTTTCTTTGCGACTTTGTACGCAGCATTGGCCTTCTTGTTTGCTCTAGCGTGTAAATAGATTGCCTGCTTGAAATGTTTCCTCTGTCCTGCGGCAGCCCTTTCTTCCTAAACATCTGTAAAGCTTTACCAGACAACATGACGTCACATTCCAGAAAGTGGTATTTTCCATTACACAATTTTATTGAAATCTGTTCAGCAGTTTCTGAAATTAAAATGTACGGCTGGACTTACAGATAGCTCAGACTTCCCCATTACGCGTTACTGTTTGCACTTCGTTGCAAGAATGCTTTAAAGTAATTATCTCTGGAAACTGTTCTTTTGATTCTTCTAGCCTGTGTGAGGAATTGGGAAAATATTTTCGCTTCTTACCTCTTCTTTTTCTTGGCTGATTCGGGGCAATTTAATTTGGCTCAGTGTTGTAAAAATCAGTTCAAAATTGCGATGTATACTAATTTTATTGTCAGTCTCGCGTAAATCTACAGTAGGTTTACTTTGAAATAAAACTGTGGGTAGTTTAATATTTGAAATCAGCAAGCAGTGTTGTTTTTTTTTCTCTGTATCTCCGTAGTTATATATTTTGACAAGACCAACCCATTTTATTATTTAACAGAATTCTTCTTTGATCATACTCAGGAATTCTTCAGTGCGGAAGTTATACAGAATGTCCTGGGAGGAATGGTCAGTATTCTGGGAGGTCATAGTATCGGTCAGTCTAAGCAAAATAGTGCATATGTGCATGCATATTAGTCCGAACGGTTTCCGAGATAGAGTTGTTTCACTGTACAATTCCAAAACTGTCGATAAAAGAGAGATATTACGTACTGTGCCCAATGTCGGTATTTACTTTTCAAGTGACAAAGTTGGTACAGTTTACCTAGTATAATACTGTAACGTGTCTGCAATCCAGAAGAGACGCTTCTATGGAAACACTAGAATAGACCGTTACATAGGAAGTAACAATAGCGGCACTGTAATCCCAACAGTGAGCCATTGTGCAGAGAACACCGAATCTCCACGGTTACGACGAATACGCGAAGTGTTCCCAC